TCAAGGCAGGGACTCTCCGCATTCGGCCAGCTCTGAGTGCAATGGGGCCCAGTCCCGGCAGGGCCTCGGGCACTACTGCAGTTACACCAGTGCTGTCAGGCTCCCTCGGTATTTGTACAAGCACAGGGAACTCAAAGCAGTCAGACCCACTGCACGGGAGATGGCTATGGCAGAGCAGTGCGGTTCATGATGGATTTAAGCTGCCAGCATGGACCCAAGCTGCGGCTCCTACAAGAAATCAGTGAGGATGGATCTTCTAGCAGCAGCCGTGGACGTGTTTTCCCCACGGGACAAATGATCCCTGTTGAGCTGAGAGCTGCGGGTGACGGATGCATTTGTAACTGGTGAGTCCTGTGTGCTGCGGGGGACCAAAGCAGGTAAGCAAATGCAAGTGCGTTGCAGCACAGGTGACACTCTGGTGTTAGGTGCTGGAAGCTGGAGCAGCAGGCAGGTCCTTATGCTACCAGTTGTTTTTTTTCAGATTTAAATTTCAGGTCTCAGGCTAAATCAGCCAAATCTGTTCCCAATTCCATCAACTGAGCAGAGCTCAGGCACTGAAATCTATCTGGCACTGCCACCAGCAAGTACCTTTCCTCCCAGACTCTTCATCCTGGGGCTTCAGGTACTCCCACATCCATGGCAGGCATCCTACGTGCAGGCCCAAGCTCGGAGGTCTTGCGGTTTGGATGCCCCTGAGCGTTGCTTGCCTGTAGCCCACTGGCCAAAGGAGCAAGCTAGGGGAAAATCTCCCATCTCCATAAAATAGGCCCCTTGGGGGGCTATAGTAGACTCTTGTGGGGGGGGCCTGTCTGCAGTGCACTGGACAGGTCTCCACCCTTCTCTACATGGTGCCATTCTGGGTGATCAGACCTCTGCAAGGAGCCACCGCACCTCTCTGTTGAGCTAGAGCTGTGCAGGGAAAGCCCCGGCCAGGTGCAAGGCGAGGGCACGTCGCACAGGAATTAGGGCAAGCATCTGGGGAAGTGGAACTGTAACCCCACAAGCACCAGCCAGGGCTCAGGGGCCACGGCAGGACACGAATGCAGGGAGTTTTTGAACTCCTTTAGTCTCAAATGTAGCAGACGCTCTGGGAAGAAAAGCATCTGGCCTGGGTCTCGCAGCAGTAGAGGAAGAACCCAGGTGTCCCAGTGCTCTGGCCGTGTCCACGCTGCAAACTTACAGGGCAGGTGGCAGCAGCTTTGGGGGCAATGACTTAGCTGTAAAGGGCCCAGTCTACTGCCTGGTCCAGTTTCTGCAACCCAGCTCCGATGCGTGGAAGCCCCTGGACTCGGTGCTGACTGAGGGGCCTCCACAAAGTAGGGAGAGGAATTACTTCCTCCAAAGACCAACCCAACCTCCAAGCACAGCAGCAGATCTTGAGCTAAGAAGGGAATCAAAGCACGGCGGGTACAAGGGTTGTCCTGGAATCCCAGGCCCTCCAGCCAGGCCAGCACGGCAAGCTCACCGTGCCCACCGCGCTGCTCTGGGAGGGCACCACGGTGCGGGCAGCCCTGCAGCAGTGCCCTGTGCCAGCCAATTCAGGTGGGGCTGCACAGAGGGGCCCAGCTTGCTCCTAGCCCTACAGCTCTGCTGCGTACGCCTGGGGCTAAAGCATGCCACGCCGCCCAGGCCTGCATGGAGCCCCTCCGGGAGGGGGTGACGTGGGTTTGAACCTTGCAGCAATCAAAGCCCAGCTCCCCTCTTTCTGGAACGTGTGCAGCACCAGGCGCCTGTAGAACAGGGACACCCCCCCACCTCCTTTCAAAGAAAGCGGCAGGCACCAGCCTCTTTTGCACAGGAGCCGGTCCGTTAGACGTGCTCAGAGAACCGGCCAGACCAGGCCCTCAGGGCAGCTGGCAGGGGATACCCCAGCTTCTGGAGTCCAGCTGCTTCCAACGTGGGTCTGCCCAAGTCTTGGTACGCAGCGCTGGAAGCAGACCCCATGCTGCTGCTGCTGCTGCGTTCTCCTGGGAGCCTCCTGCCGACAGAGCTTGGAGCATCGTGCCGGATCGATGCCAGCCCCACTTCTCCCAATAAGCTTGCTTCATAAATAGCAAGAGGAGCCTGCAAATACAGCTCTGGAGACTGCATTAAGCCTTATCAGAATGCGTTGTTTTCCCTTGCCCTGCCCCACCCCTGCAAAATTGTGCTGGAATCTCATTACACATCAGCCGAGAGGATGAAATGGCATGTTTGCCCCCAAACATTTTAAGCCAGCCTCATAAGTAGATCAATGCTTTCTTCTCTCAAATGGAATTAGCATCGAGTGTGCAGCCGTTACAGCCTCATGTGAAAATGCCTTGCCAAAAAAATAACTCCCCCCGCCCCCCCGCAACGTTTCTCTTGCCCCACGCGAAAGCACGGCTTCCTGCTGCAGTGCGGCGCAAAGGGCTCTGTGTGGCTACTGGGGGGGGAGAAGCAAAACGCTTTCCTAAAACAGCTTTTCTTGGGGATGTCGGCAGAACATGGCCAATACACCAGCACTTGCCTTGGGCACCAGCGGAGAACAGCCAGGCCCGAAAGGGCCAGGGGCTGCAGGCATGGCAGGCTAGGCGGCCAGGCAGCGGGACACCTGTGGATGTAGAGCTCGACCTCTTCTCTCCTACTTCGGGAAGGGCTGCATCGCGTCCAGGGCGGCACTTTGCACTTGCAACATGCATGCTCCCCTGGCTCAGGCCTGCCCTACAGCACTAAGCACTGCACGGTGAAAGGAGTCACCGTCCCAGAGACCCTCATGTCCAGGCAAAGGAGGCGGCTAACAGGAGGGTGCAGAAGCTAGTTTGTAATGGGAGCGGTGGGTCCCGCAGTGCGGCTCTGGGAGAGGTGTGGGGGCTGCTACTTGGCAGCTGAGCCAGACAAGCGTGTGCTGCTAGAGGGAGCTGGCACAGGTGAAGGAGCTGCTGGGAATCACAATCCACAAGCTGATGTTGAGGCAAAGGGGTTGCTTCTTGCTCCGCCTAGTTGGGTGCGGGCTGGTCACAGCCCTGCCAACAAAAGGATGACGGCAAACCACCGTCGGGTCTCAGGACCGAGTCAGCATGCTGTGATCTATGAGCTTCCCACGAGGCACTGAGTGACAGCAGGGCATGCCGAGATACTTGCCAACAAGGCCACGACTGAGAAAGCCTTTGCTACAAGTGCTGCCCGAGCCTCACTCGCTCTTCCAGGAACCTGTAAGCAGAGGGGAGGGAGCCCTCCGGACGTGCTGCGTAGCGAGCAGCTCTCCCTTTGCTCAGGGACAGCAAATGCTGACAGCCGTGGTTATCAGGACTGCTGCACTATCTAGAAGGCTGATAAGGAGTCCACTGTGTTACTGCTCACGCAGCAGTGTCCCCGCTCTGGAGAACTCGCCATCTAACAGACCAGATCCAGCCGATGGGGAGGATGAGGAGACAACCAGACACCTGCGGTCAGCAAGGCAGGCAGCAGTTTGGGCTGTGCTGGAGCAGAGGGGAGCTAAGGGAGGACTGGAAGGAGGAGAGCGGGCAGCGTGTAGGACAGACATCATGTTGAGTTCCTCTTCCCCGTCCTCTACTTGGCCGTGCTGCGTGGGTAGCTAGCCTGGCACATGCCAGGGGGGACTCGACTCAGTCCATGTGCGCCACACGCTGGCCCCTGACGTCACTCCCACAAGTGAAGCGGTTTAATCGAGGCTCCGGTGACAGGGGAAGGAAAAGGTGCTGGGGCTTCTCTGCTCCAGTGTAGGATCCTGTTGGGGAAGGCCAGCTTGTCCCTTCTCTGAGGTACTCAGCTAAGGTCTACTGAGAGGTGGATGGGCCTGGGGGTGCAGTGGGGGACTGGGGATTTACTTCTCTTGACCCCTGCGTGTGCCTTGGCGTGCCGTGAAACCCAAAAGGACTAGCTGGAATTTGCAAGTGCCCTTGGCGAGAGCTGCGGGTGTTGGTGGAGTCCAAACCTGGAGTCCGTTCCTCATGCACAGCAAGTGCACCTGGGCCGAGAGCAGAGCTTCCCCTCAAACCTGGGGAAGGCAGGGCCTCTCCTGCCTGCTCTGTCCTCCCTCAGACACAGACTTTAATTCTTAGTCCCTTCTTCCAGGAGAGACTGAGTACAGCCACCCTCCAGCGAAAATGCTAATGGAGGGGGCAGGAGGTGCCATGTGCCCCAACTTGGGTGGTGCATCGGGAGAGAGGCAGAAGGCATAGGAAGCACCTGGCATTTGCTAGGAGAGTCCACATGTCTGGCTGAAAATGGACGAGCGGTCAGCAAAGCTGCAGCAGTGCAGCTGAGCTGCATGTATGAGTGCTGTTTCTGGGATGGAAGACTCCCAGGTCCTTAGCTCTTTCCAGTTCACCTGTACTCCTGTAGGTCTCTCAATTGCTGGAATTGCCTGTTGGGCTTGGAGGATCTTCTGCAGCATTTTGGGCATGCAGACACCTCCATCCTGGCAGAGATTCCTGGCTTCTGACCATCCAGGCACTTGGCCACAAGGAAATGTGTGCAATCGGAGGAAGCTGGAAGGAAGAACTGTGGCAGGTCCTCACCAGAAACAATGGCTTGTGCAAGAACTTTGTACACACATGTACAGAGTACTTCTCCACCCCTTTGCAATGGCGATAGGAACCAGTAGTCCCCTGAATACCTGCTGGTGAGCTGTGAGCCAGCAACACCCTCCTTGCGCCTATGAGTCTGATACATGGGGATTTCAGTCATTTACACATCCGCCCTCAAGCGATGATGGGAGGGAACGGTGTCTGAGAAGACTGAAGCCAAGAAGGCAAGAGCAGCTCTGTCGTCTCTGCATGTTCACCTGGGAGCTCACCTTCTCTGGTCAGCAGGAGCCCCAGTTTGTTGGACACTGGTAGACCCCTCGCCCCCTTGGCACCTTAAATATCCCTTGCCAGCTGCATCTCCTGTCGTGCCAGAGGATGGTGCAGCTCCTACACGCCCTGGCAGCAACAACGTGTGTAACCCCAGGGACCGGGCCAGGCCAGTAAACCCATTTACTGTGCAGAGCAAAAGAACCGGAACCAGAAATGGAATATTAAATAAAAGATTTCCTTTTATTTAAAATACAATGCATTTATATGTAGTCTTTCCACCACAGGCTACTGGGACACGAGACTGGTAATTCCTTGGCATGAGGTGGGTCAGGCTCCCTCGGCACTGGTGCTGGTGCACAGGTGGGACCTGCTGACTCCAGGCAGGCCTATTAAAGACACTGTGGCCTGGCTCTAACAAAAGTCAGACTTAACTTAGATAAAAAGGTACTGAACTGCAATTATCTGTTCCTAAACTGCTACCCTTATCTTTTAGAAGCCTAATAGCATTAATGCTGATGCACTAGGTCTATGCAGTACTCTAGCTGGCTTGTGAGACTAGTTAAAAAAACTGTACAATTTTATAAAATTTGTGTTTTTACATTAGTTACACAAAACCTATACTTCATAGACCTTTACTTCATATCATAATGAAAAGGTTTGCATATCATAGGCAGACAGTGACTATGCTGGTGAATACTAAAAGTGTTGTAATACAATACGGTGTAAAAATAAAAAAAAAGACAATATAAATGATTATCAAAAGGAAAGTTAACAAATAAATCACGCTACAACAGACTAACAGAGGAACATTCTTCAAGGCCACACACATTATCTTCAAAATAGCATCAGGCACCTGCCAGTTCATGTAGTGTGAAATTAAACATCAAATTTCTACTCAAAGGTAGAACAACTTTGAAAACATGTCTAATTTACAGAAAAAGCACAAAAGTAAAAACCACATGCATTAAACATGATAAATAGACTTCATATCGTTTAAGGCCTGGACAGCTTTCTAGTAGATGGCTTAGAGTTCTCTTATGAATTTGGCTAGCTTGCATCAGTTAAATCAGATCCCGACTGGCTCATCACGGCTTGTGTCTAAAGGCTATAGGCAGAATGTGCCACAACACAGCTCACGTACTGTCTCGTTATAGCAGATTAACAGAAGTGCTCATTAGTGCACGTATTAACTGCTCTGGGTAATGCAAAAATTTTCATGATTAAAAAAAATAAAAAGATACACTTCAGGCTTACTTTATTAAGCAGCATATTTCAAACAACAGCTTTTAAAGTTAAATATTTAATATGGCCATGGGGGTTTCTCTCTGTAAACAGTACATCAAACTCACACCCAACCGCTGGTAAGTTTGTAGAACATCTCTTCATCTAAACTTTCGTTCTGGTCTTTTGCCCGCGTTGACAAGAAAATGTAGCCACCAATGAACTCGTGAACCACCTTGCAATCCACCTCCGTGCAAATGAAGGACACCCGTACTTCATCTGCGAACTCAACCGTGACCTGAAGTGCAAGGCATACAGGTTAGGGAAGACGAGCTGGTCTGGAACAAATTGTGCTGGCTTCAGAACTGGGCTGTCCCTACACTGGTTTGTTTCTCCTTTAGGGCAGATGCTTCCGGGACCGTCTGAACAAAACCAGGTCTGGAGCTGGATTTTTCCAGGCCCAAACACTTTCAATCTCCTTCATTCCTCAGAATTGAATATGGCTCCTCTGCAGCAAAGATTATTTTCTGAGACACTGACTGGATAGAAATCGGGAGGAGGGCAGGCTTTTCTGCCAAATTACGACTATTTCCAACCAGTGTATGCTGGCTCTGTAACCAAGTCTCCCATTGGAAGCAGTGAGAAGAGGTCAGTGATAGCCTGAAAGATTTCCTCCCGGGGTCGGGTTCAACTCCGGTCGAAGTCAGAAGCAGCTTCTATAACTCTAATGCAGAAGCAGGCATTTTACAGTGGAGCTGAATAAGGCCCTTACTACAACTATTTTTGGGACTCTTCCCCCTCCCCTGCAAAACATGAACTGATTAGCAAGAGATACAGCCAGGCAAATGATACCATCAACACAACCCTCTAGCCCAGGGATGCAGGAGACCATAGTAAAGCCCGACATGGAGCCCTTATACTGTTTAGTTTAAGAAATGAAGCAGCATGTTTCCATGAAACAAGATGGGGCCCAGCCAAAGGTTAGCTCTCTCCTAAAGTGACACAAAGCAGTCCTAATTCAAGCCAAGCCTTGCAAGGTATGTTTGGGCCAAGGACATGTGGGGAACAACATCCTCTTACCATTTTGATCTCCCAGTTTACGTTCCACTGTTTCATGTTGCTGAATCGCCATGTTTTAATTGCATCTCCTGTGCTTGCATCCATTCTTATCAGTCTGTTATAGGCAATCCCAATCAGCTCTTCTTTCTTGCCCCCTTGGAATCTACCATGTGTGGATTTAGAAAGAGAATTTTTAAACATGTGCAAAAATGCTTTAAAGTCACTTGCTGACCTGCCTGCTAAAACACACACTGGAACCAATGCAATATTCACTTTTTTTCCGGCACTGATCTGACTGACTGCTCAAAAGCTACAGCCAAGTTCAGTTAATGCAGGAACAGCTTCAAATCCTTCCACTGACATTAGCAATTTCAGATTTTACATGTGAACATTCAGGGTGCGGACTGAGTTTTGCATGCGCAAACATTTACAGAAACTGGTCCAACAGAACAACATCATTCCCAACTACAAATGCCTCATGGTAGCTAAAAATACAGGAAAGAGCTCGAGTTGTTTACGCATGACGCTTTATCTTACCATATATAGGAACCACTGACCTTGCAATAAAGTGTGTGATGCCAAATTCTGGTAGAGATTGCCAAGCTTGGATAAATCTCATCTTTGCTTCGATTAGACTCATCTGAGCTACGTTCTGATGGGCCTCCAGAATCCTGGCTGTGATCTGAATGCAATTAGATACACTGCCTTTAGGCAACGGTGCTACATTTGCGATATTGCAAACAAGCAAAAAAAAGTGTGCATCAAGATACTAGATCCACTGGCAACAAGATGAATAGGGGATAGTTCAGAGTGTCTTCGGGAGGTTTAACAAGTCACTGATGCTGTTACACAGCTGTTCTACTGTTTCTGAACTGCAAGTCATACCCTTTATATTACTGTACATCAAATGGAGTATTAGAAACACCAGCTGCCATTTTTATCATGGTTAATAAAGATAAAATGGAGCTGATTTCACCCTTGTACCTCTGGACTTTTTCCTTTTAAATACCAGTCATAGCTGCCATGTCCAACTATTTGGACACACATTCAACATTAGCATGCAAGATGGGAACGGATTCCAGTTTTTAGCATAAAAAAGATTCTAGTTAACCCTTCTGTAGCATAGTTTGCTGGGGATCAGCATAAAAAAATTAAGGGTTTCTATGTTCCTCAATGTGTTTTGTTCTAGTAGAACTCACAGGGCAGTAAGGTCTTAAACTATTTTTATTTAAATCAAACATCTTAATTTTAGGTTTGCTGTCACTTACCAAGTCTCTTATATAGCCTGGCTGAAGATGACAATGCGAAGAAAAGAAAAAGGAGGCAGAAAGAAAAAAAAAGCAATCAGAAATATGGCAACAAAGCAAAGAAAAAGTGTAAATTATCTGCAAACCAAAGTTCAAGCAATAACATGCACATTTCCTGAGGAAGAAAAAAAGCAGCAAAAAGTGAATGCAAGCATGAAAAAGGGAACAAAGAAGCACAGAGCAACCCCTTGCTCTAGATCCATCAAAATGGGATGGTCTCAGACATTTATTTAGTCTTTACAAATGTTTCAGAATTTCAAAGGTGGCCAAACCAGAGAGCCAGAGTGAAAATTTCCATTTTCACCATTCATTTTAAGGTCTTTGAACAGAACTCAAGTGTACTCAGTTTAATAAGGAGTGCAAAGCCATTTTGCTGTTAAAAAAGGCAAGAGCAGCTTCTGTTACTTAGGTATTTTCTTCTCATATCCGCATGCTACCTTTTCTCCTGGAATGTAATAAAAAGCACGCAGTGCCGTCCACGATGCTAACATCAAACAAGCAAAGCAAAAATAAAGAAAATGGCAATTTTAATGCAACCTGTTCTTGGAAGAAACCCCTGCTCTAGGGACTGCAACTGTAACTGAAATCTTCTGTTTAAGCTACACTGAATTTCTCTTAAAAGTAAAACAGCAGAAACTCTCTGCTCCAAGCGGCCGATGCCACAAGAACAATTCATGTATTGCTCTGGGCCCCAGGACTCTGAGCAGTTTGGCTTTGTTTACTGACTTCCCGTTTCCTAAACCTGTCCTAATGCAACGTCAGGTTACAGTAATATGAACAGGCTGGAGGTTGGTTTTTAAATCAAATGTCTGGACTTTTGAATCAACCGCTCCTCCGTCCATGGAACTGATACAATAATTAAGGCAGGCTGCAGGATGTGCACGTCCATATTGACTTATCTATCATTGGTCTAATACCAAGATTGAAGGCATTAGTGAAAACCTGAAATATCATTTTAATGATGTTGTAAATTTATATTCCAGATAAATTTGCACTTAGTAAGAAATTTGCCCCTGGCAATTACACTAGATCAATATAATCCAGTAGTCTGGGGCTCCTCTCTCGCCAGTCTCGGTTCCAACGATTCCCTTAGGGCTGCACTTCCTCCATGCCGGTCTCCTACATCCCATCATCGTGCAGGATAAACTCTCTCAGTGCAATTTTACATAACCTCCAGCAAGGAGGAAGAAACCAAACAAAACAAAAAGGAGAAAAACTGTTGAGGATCCTTACTATCTTGGTGAACAGGTTGTTTTCCACCACAGCTAATTTTCAAAGGGGATCAGTAGTTTCCATCATAAATTGTGGGCTAATTGTGACTTTTTTACAATTTTTAAATGTCCCTACTTATCTTCAATGCTGCACCTATTAGTTCTTAAATCAACGCATATGCACGCCAAGAAAAATTTTTTTTCAGGTATGTTCTTTTTGCTATGTTTATGTCTACAACACTTTATATACAAAAACTCATTGTATGTGCCATCTTCCCCCATCTGTGTGGCTATATAAAAGGCATATCCAGGAGAATTTCACAATTCCCTTTCCATAGCTCTTATGTGCCAATAGAAGCTGCAGTTCCCCACTTTTCTGAATGGCAACTTCCTTCCAGAGTTCATATTCAGATGCACTAACTATTTGAGCGGCATACTTCAGTTAAACTTACTCAGAAGCCAGCAATCAATCTTTATTTCTTTTTTTGTACCAAAATACCATATTTCCTTGCAAAACCCACATACTGCATTTTCTCACATAGTACACACGCTTTTTCCCAAAAATCAGCCGCTCCAATTTGGGGTGCAAGTCTTAAGTGGGGAAGATTACCAGTACGTTTCTGCCCAGAACAGAAGCACCCAATTTTGATTCCTGCTTCAAAACCAACTGCCCAGCAGCAGTGGTGGCATCTCGGCAGGCAGTGCAGGGAGTCAGCTGATTTAATGGTTCGCTGTTCTTTAGTCCACAGGTGTTAGTTAACAATAATCTCTCTTTTTTAAGTGTCTTGGTGTTCCACTAATCAAGCTAACCTTTCTTCAGGCAATCTTGCTTCCTTCTAGCTACTCCTGGTCTGTCTCTTCTCCTTGGTCTCATACATTCTCGCAGAACTTTTAGCTGTGTCATTGCTCTATAAAGCCATAATTCTGGAAAACAAATCTTTTCCCCCCTATTCTCAAAAACAAGGTGCGGATTTTATTTTGGGGCATGCTGTATGCAAAAAAATACAGTATTTGTTTATTTCCATCATAAACAGTCCGACTCTGCCATGCAGTGAATAGCTACAAGCATTCAAAAAGTAAAAATCCCCATTTTTTAAAATGAATGATTGTTTTCAGAGGTACATATTTCTTCCTTTTTTAATTATTGGCACCATGCAGGTATTGTCATTTTACACCATGATTTAGTGAAAAGGTGTTAAAAAATGTGTTTAAATCACTGACCACCACTGATCAAACTCTTGGTAGATTGCTACTGCTCATCAACTCACAGAAAAAACTCAGTACCTTTTCTTAGATAATGTGGCCTGAACAGCTAAGATCACTGATGTGATAAGCTTCTGTCTCTTAATTTCAATCACAACCACAAATTAGATTTTGAACACAGGATTTTTAGAAACACGGTGGGTAACTGTTGTTAAAATGCATCACCATCTGCTCCAGTTAGAGTGAATTACCAGCCATGTAGATGTCCCTGAGAATTTTGCCATGTCACTAATTATTTTTTTTAAGGGACCCAGGGCCCGGATTGTCAAAAGCAAGATTTCTGCAAAACAATTAAAATCAAGTACCTGTTTGTTCTTGTACTTTTTAAGGTAGCGAGGTGACACCAGGCATTCGGGATTAATGTCCGTTGTGATCTGCTCTGGCATTAGCTGTGGGTCTGGGTTCAAATGCTGCATCTTCAAAAATGACAGGATATTCTGAACTTCTAGGTTATAGGAGCTGTCTGCCATGGTCTTGCCCTTGGACGCTAGCCTGCAGGCTGCCATCCAGTGTGCATACTGCTTTTCCTGGAATTCAAGGGAAGGTCCATGTCATCAGCATTGTCTTGCCCACGTGGACAGAGGCTCATTGCATTTTTCGGTGAAAGAATCAGAACAGGCAGAATACAAAAACGTGTATATTGCTTAGGACAAGGGAATGTAAGGAAAAAGGAGGAAGGGCCAATCCCACGAATCATTTCAAGGACTGTTACAGAGCATTTCCATTTGTACATTTTGTTTCTTTGGTTTGTTTTTTTAATAAAAGGAAAACAGTAAGTGTAAAGGATGAGTGGAAGCAAGCAGAAGGCAAGATACATGGACAGTCCAAGCAAAACGCTTACGTTATCGCAGCGAAGCCAGATTTCATTCATACCCTCCGCAACTGGAATCAGAAGTTTGATATTAAACTTCTGACCAGAGATGTTTACATCAGGGGTAACCTCACAGCCTGTAGTACAAAACCAGAGATTAAAGTGCACAAATACACACAGGCTTAAAAAAAAATAGATTTCTAATCTAAGGGTATTGAACAATATCTCAATTATATGATGGTTTTAAGACACCACAGAAGTAAAATATACGCTACATTTTGTTTCCAAAGCCGAGGCAGAATATTAGACAATGACCACAAAACACAGTATGGAGGACAGATTGATGGCTTTGGCTGAACGGCAGAGCTATCTGCCAGCTTGAAATGGGTGTGATGCAATAGAAAATAATGTGAGACTACACCGTTGGACTTTGCCAACTCTCTGAATTAGACCCTAGGCTCTAACATGTTGGGTCCAGCAGTGAATCATTTCCAAACCAACGGAAGGAAAAAGAGGAAGAAAAAACTACCTTGGGTGTTGGGTTGAGTGTCAGTAATCTAAACCAGTCATCCTATGACATTATTTTGATGGGGCATGGTACTTCTGTCTTTAGGGATAAGGTGCTAGTTTCCCTAAATTCCAGTCTCTTTTAACAATTAATTTTTTTATATTCAGCATTAAGAGTTACGAGGACTCCGATTTCTTGAACCATCCAAGACCATGTGGGCATGGCTTCAACTCAGTTTCCAGAATTCTTTTAAAATGCAGTCAGAAGCAGCTATGTCAAAAGCTCCCAAAAAGGTATTCTAGGCTATTCCAGGCTGCACATCTCTGTAACTGTAGTGTGAGATCATTTGGCAGCCTGTCGGCTATTGTCTCCATGGCAAAAAATGAAGTATGTCCGCAGTTTCTGCTGCCTCGTAACTTTCCAAGTAGGAATACGTTACTTCTGGATATAAGGGACAGTAGCATTAGGATTTTTTAATGTAACTTGAAAGCTTTGTAGACTGCATCTGATTAAGATTTGGAAGCCCACAGAGAGAATAATAGGTTGCATTTAGAAAAAGCACTGATATACAAACCCTATTTGCTGGTCCTAACTTGTTTTTAAAGGCTGACTATATACTTCATTTTCTAAATAGCTTTCATAACAAAAGGTAAAATTACAAAGTGTATATACCATATACTTCTTAACCTATTTTTGCTTTACAGTAAAGTCAGACCTATGGTTCAGATAATTACAGACTTTAACAATGAGCTTTGAATAGTTTCACGGTAGAAAACTAGGCTTAGTTTTCCAACGTGCATCCGATGCACACAGTACACTTCTTCAGCATGATTTCTCTCTCTCTCTCTCTCTCTCTCTCTGTGTGCCCCATGTTTTTCTTTTATAAAATTCAACACTATTGATTTCTAAAGAATAAAAAACAACAGTAGCAGACTTGTTTTGGATAAAGTTATCAAAAGAGGTTTCCTTACCTCTTAAGTTCATTTGGTGAGCTGGAGTCCCATTGGATTCTTCTTTGCTTTTATAGCAGGAAATAGAAGTATCTTTGAAGGTGCACCAATATGGTTTATAACCTTTTAGCGTCAGCTTCTTAGGCCTGCCAGACAGGTTGATGGATATACTGCGTTAGATCTATAGCTCATTTGAGTAATAGGTTTAGAAAACAAGAGATGCTGGGTAACTTAGGTTCTTAAATGGACCTTCTGTTCTTTGAACATATTCCATATGGACAAACCTGATTCAGGAAACCAAGACTCTCCCCCTGCTCATCTCCCCATGCAAGTGTTGCCACAGCAAGGTTTAAAAACCCCTTTACACTGCAGGAACACTAGATCAGTAACAAAGAACTGAATGTTATTTCAACATTTCTTATTTTCTTTGTCCCACTATGGTGAGATTTGTTAAACTAAACTAAACCTGAAGAAACCATGAACTTAGGATCTCTAATTCAAGCACTTGCATGGGCACAAGTATCCAGATAGGCCCCATTAATATTTCTGGGCTCTCAAGAGACGTACTAATAAAGACACCTCCATGAATCATGGAAAAATGTTGTTTTCTACAATAAAAAAAAGTCTCCAGTTTCAAAAAATACCCAGTCTTCAGCCAGGGGAGAAGTGCAAGCGCATTTTTCCATAATCTGTTGACATGCCTGGATCCACATTTCCCTTTGTGACCCCTGTTACATTCCTTTAAAGTGCTGGGGGCAGGGCAGGGCAGAACGGTTTGGCTACCAAGCTGAGTCATCTTGCTGGGAGGTTCAAGGTAAATGTGTTGAGCCCCGGTGATGCCAATGGCTCTTTTATGATTTTTTTTAACTTTCGCACAGCAAAATGGGTCAGAAGAATGTAAGAGTCGTGTTCCATCCAAGACCAAGATGTTAAAATGTGTTTCTTGTCATAAAATACTGTTTGCCCCCCCGTTTCAAAAACAAGTCCTAATATATACTCTTGCCTCTTTATGAGGTGAAGAGACTTCTTTGCATTTAAGATATTCTATGTAGAAAGCCAGATGACAAAAAGAATACACTCTGGTTTCAATCTACATCTGCTGCCTTTGAAGTTGCAGCAGTTTTTGCTGAGACCATTGCCAAAAACTTACAGAAACTTGGCTTTCTGTTTAGTTTGAGGGCTAAAGAAACACAATTTAGCCCCATTGTCTCAAGCTGTAGCAACAGATTTGATCAAAATGCGGCCACTTAAAATGAAGCAGACGTGGCAGTTTCAAGATGAGAAGATGCTAATTAGAGCCAGAACTAGAAAGATGGGGATCCAGGAGTTACCTCTGTGGGTTTGTTTAAAACTGAAATACTGTATTTAGTCAAATCTATGACCCTTAGCCTAAGGGCAAAAAGGGGGGCATATAAGCAGTGGAAACAGGGAAAGATCACTAAAGAGGAGTATACCTCCTTAGCTTGAAGTTGTAAGGAGGCAGTTAGAAAGGCCAAAGCTACCATGGAGCTCAGGTTGGCATCCCAAGTTAAGGATAACAAAAAATTGTTTTTCAGATATACAGGGAGTAAAAGGAAGGCCCAGGGCGGTATAGCACCACTACTGAATGGGCAAAAGCAATTGGTGACAGACAGGGGGGACAAGGCTGAACTCCTCAATGAGGTCTTTGCCTCAGTCTTCCTAAACGAGGGGCAAGACAAGGCTCACAATGGGTTCGTAGAGAGGCAACAGCTGGGTGCCAGACCACCAAGCGTTGACCCTGACACGGTGCAGAGTCACCTGGAAGGACTGGATGTGTTTAAGTCAGCAGGCCCGGATGAGCTCCATCCGAGGGTGCTGAAGGCGCTGGCTGATGTCATTGCACAGCTACTGGCAAGAATATTTGAGCACTTGTGGCACACGGGCCAGGTCCCGGAGGACTGGAAAAGGGCCAGTGTGGTC